TGGTGCTGCTGAGTTCCCTAAGTCTATTTTCATTTTCTGTTGTTTTTTTCTCTCTCCTGTTCAACTTGATTGCCTTCCATTACTCTGTCCTCCAGGCCGTTGATCCATTCTTCCGCTTCCCCTAATCTACTATTTATTCCACCTAATGTATTTTTAATTTCAGTTACTGAATTCTTCATCTCTGATTGGTTCTTTTTTTTATTTTCCTATCTCTTTGTTAGAGGTCTCGCTGAGGTCCTCCGCTCTTTTCTCAAATCCAGTGAGTAGCTTTATGACCATTATTATAAATTCTCTATCAAGCATATTACTTATTTTCATTTCCTTTTCCTCTTTTGCTGTGAATCTGTCCTATTTTTACATTTGGGAAATATTCCTCGGTCTCATTTTGTCTAACTCTTTGTTTCCATGTGTCAGGAAAGTCAGCTACATCTCCAGCTCTTAAAAGTAGTGGCCTTATATGAAGAAGAGGTCCTGTAGTGCTCTGCTGTGTAAAGTCCCCTGTTATCGGAACCTGGCACTCCAGGGGTATCTCCTACCCGTGTGGTGTGCACCACCCTACGATTGTGGCTGAGCCACTTTTGCCTTCAACCCAGTCATCTGCAATGGCTCTCCTTCCCTGTTGTGTGCAGGGTTTGATCCCTGTGTTGTTAGTGGACCAGTCTGGGGCCACCTTGGGCCAATCTGGGGCAAGAGTGACTTTGTTGTGCTGCTCACACCTGTTGGATATGTTTGCACACTGCAAGGCCTGTGGCACTACTTTGGGTGTGCTCTGGCCAAGATGTACTGGAGGGGGTGCGTCCACAGAATGTAGGGCAGGGTGCACTATTAACAAGTTAAGTAGGGTGTGCTGGTGCTCGAAGGTGTCCATGTGCCTAGGCTGGGGGGTGGGGGAAAGAAACGGTACCTGCCAGCATTTTTGTTCTTGGAGAGGTCTCCCAAGCATCCCTATTTCTCTAGCACATGCCCTGAAATTAGTAAACAAATCTCCCTCCCATATACTCCAGTATTTTTCAAACTGCTGTTTCTATGCTGTATCTCGGTGGGGCTATTTGGTATGCTGTCTCTTTAAGGGTGGGGACTCAGATTCCTGTCACCCTCTCAGAGCTGAGCCCACAGATTTTCCAAGTTCCAGGTGTTAAGCCCTGCTAATTGTAAGAACTCACAAAATCAGCCCCTCTGGTTTTCAAAGCCAAATGTTACGGAGATTTGTCTTCCCTGTGCAAGTCTCCAGTGCCTGGCGTACCTGGTGTGAGGGCCTGTTCTTTTCCTCTCTCTGAGCCCAAGGTGTCCCTCCCTGCCACAAAGAGTCCCCCAGGTCCATTTAGCTCCTGACCACATCTCCCCCCCTTCCTACCCACTTCAATGTGACTAGAGAGTGGATTCTGCCAGTCTTCAGGTTGTTTTCTGGGTGATTTACACTGATGTGGGTGTTCGCCAGCTGTATCCAGGGGACAAAGTAAGCTTAGGATCTTCCTACTCCGCCATCTTCACTGGAAGTCTAATTTGTATGACTAGTTTTGAAATTAGAGATCAGAAACACATCAAAGAGGCTTCTTTATAAAAATAAATACCTTTGTTCATAACTGACTCTTGCAGGCACTGAATATCTTCTTTCAGTTGTGTCACAAAAAAGTTTACATTGCTTCATTTTATCAGACCTTCCCATGACATGTTCTTCATCCCTGACTATTTACCCTTGTTCTGTAGGAGTTGGGCACTGTGCTGATAGGCATCGAGGGAGCACATCTGGAATCACAGCCTTTTTCTTAAACACTGTGTGCTCTATTTCAATGACCGATGATGCCAACTTAGTTCAGATGTTGATCAAATCAAAGATGAATTCTAATTCTTTTTTTCAGTGCCAAGAATAAAACTTAAAGTGAACTATATAGTTATATTTTCCCTTTGCTTCTTTATGCTTTTCATTTAGAATCTGTCCCCAACTATACTTCTCAGCATCTATGAGGAACAGCTTTTTATTAGTTTTATTTTTTTATTACTATTATTATTATTATTATTGACACCACCAATCAATGAAAATAATGTTTCTTTGGCTAGCTGATATGTGGGGAAAAAAAAACATGCTAGCGTACCTAGAATCTACTTCTGAGTTCTCACTATTACTACCTACATAAAGAATACAGTGTTACACACAAACAATGAATCATGGAACACTACATCAAAAACTAATGATGTAATGTATGGTGATTAACATAACATAATAAAACAAAACAAAACAAAAAAAGAATACTTCTTTCTGTACTCCCTTTGTAGATTTTGGGATAGGAAAGAAACAAATACCACTCCATTTGCCTAAGGTGGTAAAATCCTGGTCTCCAGAAAATGAAGGGCCTATACATATAGAAACAACTTAAGTGTTCACATTCTACCTACTCCTTAGAAATCTGCTCCTTAAGCCAACTGTAAAAGAAAAAGAAAAATTGTCTTTCAGAAAAAGGAATTAATTTGGTAAGTCAATAAATCTCTACCAAGAGTCAACATGTTCAAATATGTAGTTATAAGATAACATATATTGTGACTGGCCCTTTAGAAAACACTACCGTTAAACTATACAATGAGGAAATTATGCCATGCATGCTTTGAAAGAAAATCAGGTTCCATGTATTATGAACCACTTAAGATAAAAATAAGAACTTAATTAGTTTAAATGACAGGTCTATAGCAATTTCCATAGTTTTATATAAAGTGCTTACTTTTCAAGTTAATAATTTAAGTTATAGGCAGATAAATTTTACCTTAGTGCTATATTAGTTATATTTATTTTTAAAATTTTTTTATTTTGAAACACTTTATAGTGGATATTCACTTTTTAAAATGTTTTATCTTAAAATAATTTCAAACTTACAGGAAAGTTGCAGGACTCAGCTGTACGAAGAGCTTCTGTTTTGCCTTCACTCAGATTTCCCAATGATTACCACTGTAGCACATTTATTCCCTTCCTCCTACCCCCAGCAGCAACCCCACACCAGACCATTATCACTGGTCTTTTATTGAACCACTGAGGAGCAAGCTGCAGATATGATGCCTCATCATTCCTAAACATTCTAGTTCCTATTTCCTAAAATAAGAACTCTGGCCAATGTAATCACTACATAAGCTTCCAAATCAGGAAATCATTTAATAGAACACTGCTATCTAATCCAAGGTTAACTGTGTCAACACTGTCACTTTCTCCTATCTGGCCCAGGATCCAACATAGGAGCACATGTTGGGTTTAGCTATCATATCTCTTTAGTCCCTTTTAATCTGAAGTAGTTTCCTCAGTTTCTTCTCTCTTATGGACTGGACAATTCTCAAGAATACAGGCCTTTCGTTATGTAAGATGGCCCTCAACCTAGGTCTATACCATACTTTCTCACGGCCAAACACACACCGTGAGTCCTTATCCAGAATATCCCTGAAATGAGGCTGAGCTCTTCTCAGCTTAACACTTGGGAGGGACGCTATGTCAATTTGTCCCAACTGGTCAAGTTGGCCTTTACCATAAAAGTATCATTTTCTTGTTTTGTAGTCAACTGCGTATTTTGGTAGGAGATATTCTTAGGTTACATCAATATCCTATCTTTTTTTTTTTTTTTTGAAGATTTTATTTATTTATTTGAGAGAGAGAGAGCGAGAGAGCGAGCGTACGCACACATGGTGGGGGGTGGGAATCTCAAGCAGACTCCTGCTGAGCATGGAGCCCAACGTGGGGCTCAATCTCACAACCCTGAGATCATGGCCTGAGCCAAAATCAAGAGTCAGATGTTTAACTGACTAAGCCATCCAGGCACCCCAATATTCTATTCTTCATAGAACCTCCACCCACTAGCTTTAAAACCTTTGATGACTCCTGCCTAAATCAACTGCCACACTGATGGTTGCCAAATGGTGATTTTTCTGTTTATATAATTCCTTCTGCATTTATTCAAGAGATTTTTCTTCTCCCCCTTGTATTTATTTATTCATTTGTATCAATATGAACTTAGAGATTCCTATTTTGTTCAATGGTTTATAATCAATTGTTATTCTTGTTTATTTTGATGCTAAAATTGTCCCACATTTTAGCCAACGGGAGCCACTTCAAGCTGGCTCCTCTGTTACTTTTGGCACGTCAACATCATTTGTTAGACATTTCCTTGCTTTCTGGCACAATAAGATGATCCCGGTTCATTTCATCACGTAGTTCCCCTGTGTTGATCCTTGAACCAGCCCTATTTCCTAGGAGTCCTGATTCCTTTTAGCAAGTGTGGTATTTAGAAACCAATGTCTCGGCACTTGGCATGATCATTGCCACTGGAGTGTCAGTTTTTAGGCCTTCTTAGAGGACAGAGCTAGAAAATACGTGTCTGCATTCACATATACACACACTATCTATACCTATTACTCTGTTTACATATATTGAAAAAAACATGAGTTCATTCTGATTTCTCCAATTCCAATCTAACACCTCAGGAGTCTCTTTCCTTCTCCCTTTCTATGTTTATAAATTCTTTTTCCAACAGTAAGTAACACAGCTCTCATAATCCTCAATATATTCACTCATTTGCTCAACTGATTTACTTATTTGTTCAATGTAGTCCATGTCCCAACCACACCAGCCACCTCAGTCCTTGCTTCCCTATCACTGGCATGCCAGTGCCTCTATGCCTGGAAAAAAAGAGAAAAGCAAGGGAAGGCAAGGGAAAGGAAGAAAGACGGGACGTGAAGAGACAATGGAAAAAGAAAGGAAAGTGAAGCAGACACTTATTTTTTTTAATTTAAATTCAAGTTAGTTAACATATAAGATACTTACTTTTTTTTTTTTTTAAGATTTTATTTGTCAGAGAGAAAGAGCACAAGCACGGGGAGCTGCAGGCAGAGGCAGAGGAAGAAGCAGGCTCCCTGCTGACCAGGGAGCCTGATGCGGAACTCGATCCCAGGACCCTGGGATCATGACCTGAGCTGAAGGCAGATACTTAACCAACGGAGCCACCACCCAGGTGTCCCAAGATACTTACTTTTAAAACACCTTCCACAGCCATCTTCCCTTCGTGTCCTAGTAAAATAGTGTATGGGTAAAGCCACTGGATTGCATGTTTGATTGACATCATAGGAAAGGAATCCTATTTAGGGGCAAAAATACATAGGAATGAGGAACATCTAAAATAATCACAGAAAATTTATCTGAAATGCATATGACATTGAAATTGCCTTATAAACAATAACTAATAGGTTTCTCATATTTTCCAGAAGTCTACAAAAGTAAATATTCATTGCTTCCTCTTCTCTTCTTATTTCACACCCTTTCCCTGGATAAGCTCACCCACTCCCATCTTGCAGTTGATATCTATCTGTTAATGGCTCCCCTGTCTCTGTCTCTGATCCTGACCTCTTTCCTGAGCTCTAGACTTGAACTCCTAATTGCCCAGATGTGACTCTAGATATCCCATTGACCCCTGTTCAGCATGTCTGAGACTAGATGTCTGAACACATTTCCCTACCCTACTGATCCCAAAGTATCTTCTCCTTCACTCTTATTCCTAATCTGAGTTAATCTCATACACACATGTACTTAGCCTCACAGTTATAAACTACAAGTTAGAAAGTATTTATTATTCTCAAAACCTTCCCCCAAATCAAACTGCATTCCCAATTCTGTTCACTCTACTTTCAGAAGTCTACTAACAGGGACAACTAGAGAAATTTCGATATAGGTTGACTATTAGATGATATTATAGAATTCTTGTTAACATGCTGAGGGGTATGATTAATGGTTCTGGTTATGGGGAACGTCCTACTTCTTACAAATTGCACACTGACGTATATAAGAATACTGACCATGGGTTACTTTCAGATGGTTCAGAAAAAAAGAGAGAGAGCAATCAAATGTGGCAATATGCTAAAAATTGGTGATTCTAGTTGAGGGATTGTGGTATTCATTTTACTACTTGCGAACTTTTTTTTTTTAGATTTGAGAACTGTCAAAGTAAAAAGTTCCAAGCAAAAACAAAAAGAACGAAAAGTAGGAGCTATGATAAATAGGAGGAGAAAAGCTGTTCTAAATATATAGAACAGTGTAAACAATACCTGTGAAACCTAACTCAGTCTCAGGAGACATAAACGAATCACAACTATAGTTTAAAAATAAATCTCCTGTCTAGGCAGGATCCCTACTACCTGGGATTATGCTCTCCTTAGCAGAATCTCTCACCGATGGTTACAACTGTTTCCTATTTGCTCCTTATGCCACCATGCTCTCCCCATCCCTCCTCCCTGCCAGCAGAGGTATCTTCCTCCAACATATACCTGATTATACTATACACCCCACCTACTTCATAATATCTAATAGGCCCCTTCTTCCCCACCATAAAATCCAGACAACTTCACCCACCATGCAAAGCACTTCACACAAAAATTCTCACCTTTCTCTTCACCATACATGCTTGCTCTAGCAATACAACTCAGCATTCCTCAAACGTACCAAGCCCTTTTGTGATTCAACACCTTTGTCTGAGCTGTTCCCCCTGCCTGGAGGGCATTTCGACCACTTCTGACACTACTGTCGTGACCTCTGCGAAACTGTGGTGGACAATGTCTACGCTCCAGCAAACCCCTCAGATCTGTTCTTACCCTTTCTGAGCCTCTCACCTTTCCCTTTCAACAGCCAGCGGGTGTTTAAAAGCCAGGGCTTTTAAAGAAGACTGCTCTTGAACTCCTGAAGCCAGCTTGCTACAGGCCAAGAGAGCAGCTAGCGCCTGGGAATCGGTGTCCCTCGCGATGAGCACTGGGCAATGACTACTGGTGCCCAAGTGTGAAAGCCCCAGCTCCCGGCCTCAGGCTGCGGCAGGTGTGAGGCACAGCCTGCTTGCAATACGCCTCTCCCAGCTCTTCATGCCTCTGCAGGCTGAGTCCTCCCTCCCTCTGTGGGACTTTTACCTGAGCTGCATGTCTGCTTCCCCCCCCCACAACACAAAGCTGGAAGCTCTTTAAGAGCTCAGAACACGTGGCTGGTCTCTGTACAGTTTACGGCGCTGGAGCCAATTAATCTCAGGTCTTGTAACATTTAAAGAAGAATAGGACAAGGCAAACTGAAGTGATTAATCCCCAAGGATTAACTTTTAAATGTTCTTTCCCACATAGTCATTAATTTATTTTATACATACCAGGATTTGAACTGCAGCTGGTAAACTATCTAAAGGAAAATCTGGAAGTCCAAGAGTAGAAGATTCTTGGGAACAGAGAGTGGTGGCAAAGGACAGGAGCTGAGAAATTCTAGGGGAAAAAAAACGAAGTGATGTTAAATGTTATTCTAATAGTTTTAATATATAAAATGTATTCATTTTTTAAATATAAAACAGCTGAGCCAATTTAATTAATCTAAAAGATGACATTTGCTATTAAATTCTCAAGAAACAACAGCTTCATATTATAATATTCCATTTGAAACTCAGAAGCTGGGGCACCTGGTGGCTCAGCCAGCTGAGTGTCTGCTTTTAGCTTGGGTCATGGTCCCAGGGTCCTGGGATCGAGCCCCATGTGTGGCTCCCTGCTCAGCGGGGAGTCTGCTTCTCCCTCTCCCTCTGCTGCTCTCTCTCTCTCAAATAAATAAATAAAATCTTTTAAAAATAAATAAATAAAACTCAGAAGCTGATTAAATACACAGATATATTTCTTTTTTTAAAGATTTTTTAAAAATTGATTTATTTGAGAGAGCGAGCGAGCACAAGTTGGGGGGAGGCAGAGGCAGAGGGAGAAGCAGGCTCCCCACTGAGCAGAGAGCCCAACACGGGACTCAATCGCAAGACCCAGGGATCATGACCTGAGCTGAAGGCAGACGCTTAACTGGCTGAGCCACCCAGGCGTCCCCAGATATGTTTCTAAAATATGACAATATGTGAGGTTTTTCACAACCTGGCCCACATTTATCCTGCCAGTCCCCCCTCTGACCTTTCTCAATCCAAACCTGAATTCCAGCCACCAGGAACTTTTTATAGCCTCAAGAACAAGGTGTACACTCTCATATCCCATGTTTTAAAAATAACTTCTTCCAATTCCTTACTTCCATTCTTTATCTGGCAAAAGCGTACTCATTCTTCAGGACCCACCTCAAATGCTGATGCCTTTTTAAAATTACGACCCTGGGACACCCGGGTGGCTCAGTCGGTTAAGCGTCTGCCTTCAGCTCAGGTCATGATCCCAGGGTCCTGGGATCGAGTCCCGCATCGGGCTCCCTGCTCCGCAGGGAGCCTGCTTCTCCCTCTGCCTCTGCCTCTCTCTCTCTCTCTCTATCTCTCATGAATAAATAAATAAAATCTTAAAAAAAAATAAAAAAATAAAAATAAAATAAATAAAATTATGACCCTTACTATACAATATTAAACTAATGTACTCCCATATCTTTAAACTCTACCAGATCTTGAGTTTCTTGCCTCCAAGGATCATGTCTTATTAAGTTTATCATCAGCATTTACCAAAGCTACTGAAAAATTCTTCAAAGAATAGTTGTTGAATGGACGAATTAATCAATCAATCAATGGGCAAAACAAATAAACAAATTCAATGTTAAGTGTCCAAATATTTATATAAATGTCTCCGTGTGTGTGTGTGTGTGTGTGTCTGTGTATGTGTGTATATGTAGCTGAAATACTTACTTCTCAGCAGGAACACTGGCTCCAGCTGAATATAACAGTTTAAGTTGGTCCTAAAATAACAGAAACATATCAAATCATAGTAACGTTTTTATAGTAACCAAATATAAGTAGAAAAACTGTTTAAAAATAAATTATCCTTGTTCATACTTACCTTAAAGGGTAGATAATAAATATCTCTGGCCTGAAATCGAGAACGGAGAGGGGGGTCTAATGGATTCCCAGAGTACTTAGGCACTGGCAAGCCCAACGCAATGACTCGGAAGTTTTCACTAACCCTAACAATCTTCCAAGCATCCAACTCTGTTCTGGTATGAGCCTGAAAGAAAGAGATCAAAACTTAGAGCATAAATGATGCAGATTACAACAGCAAGAGCTGCCAGGCTAAGAAATTTAGGCCCTGATTGCTGAGTAAATTGTATTTGAGAACCACCTCAAAACCAAACTGTCAAGGAAGGAAGCAAAGTGAAATCAGGATCAGGGCGCCGGGGAAGGCTCCCAACATGAGGACTGGTGTTGAACGGAGAAGCAGCTAACACATCAAGGAACAAAGGCAATGTGGGTCAGATCTCTAAGCTGTAGTCATTAACTCAGAGAAACTGAGTGAGGACGGTAAGGAAAATATACTGATTCAGACCAGGGAACGTAAAAAGGTAGTCCTAGAGGTAGAGCAGAGACTGCCCATGGACCTCAAATTGACATTTATGTTTATGAGTCTATTTCTGCCAAGGTGTATTAATAGTAACAACTAACATGTATTGAAAACTCGCTACATGGTAAGTACTTTCGATGAATTTTGCTCATTTAACTTTTACCAGAATGCAAATAAACATTTATTTCCTTTTTAGGAATGAACAAACTTATGTTCAAAGGAATTATATAACTTGCCCATGGTCCTGCAACTAGCACCTGGTGGAGTTGAGACTGCCAAACAGTACAGGGCTTGGCGTTATAAACCCTGGCTCCAGCACTGGGCGTAAACTCTAATGAAGTGACCAAGAGCATGTTATTATACCCTCTGACCCTCGGCTTTGTCATCGATAAAATGGGGCCAGTATCACCAACATTCCTGTGCCAATTAGGAAAACTAAACATGACAGTGTGTGTGAAAGCAACTGGTCCACAGTAGGCACCTGTTAGCTGTCATTCCTTCTCTCTTTGCCTGACCCTATCAATGGCTCTTCACTGTCCTCAGACGTATAGCTTACAAAGCTCCTGTGAACGTGCATGTCCTCAGCTTTCAGCACATCTTCAGGGGATGCGACCCACAGAACAGTGTAGAAGCTCTTCACGTGACATTCAAGGACCTACCTGGCTTGATTCATGTCCCATTCTCCCAGGCTCAGCAAGCACTGCACTCCCACCCCTCAGCCCGCCTTCCCTGACCCTGTGCTCCAGCCCCATCTCACAACTGTGGCCCTCCAGACACGTCCTGCTGCTTCACCAACGCTGCTCCACTTGCCTGAAACACCCTTTCCACTTTGCACAGCATACGCACAGATATCATTTCAAGCCTAGCACTAACAACATCATCACTTTCTAATCCCTCCCTCCATTGGAACCAGTTTTGTACCCCTCCACTGTATCCTATGCAAGCTGTTATCATTAAACATGTGTGCAGTGACTTCTGTTCATTACCACCTCATGCTGAATCCAAGCTCCCGAGAGGACTTATTTCTTAAATATAATAGGACAAATGTCTGTTGATTGTCTGAAATCATTTAAAAACATAATGAACAATTATTTTAAGCATAACCAAAATTATGACTCTACTGTCTTTTTTTTTTTTTTTTTTTTTTTAAGATACAGAGAGAGAGCATGAGCAGGGGGACAGGCAGAGGGAGAGGGAGAAGCAGACAGCCCGCTGAGCCAGGAGCCCGACGTGGGGCTCGATCCCAGGACCCTGGGATCATGACCTGAGCCGAAGGCAGACGCTTAACCGTCTGAGCCAGCCAGGTGCCCCGACCCCACTTTCATTAACAGAACTAACAGTGATGCTATGTCACCATGGAAAACAAGAGTCAGGATCTAGCCCTGCCTGAGACACCAACAGCAAAATCTTCAGAGAGCTGAATATTTTTCTTTTCCACTTACCAAAAAATGCTCATCAGGATATAAATAAAATTTATACAAACTGATTGTATCTGTTTCCCTAATAACAACATTCTACTAAAATCACCTCTATGAAACCATTAAAACTTTGAGGTATTCAAATTTAGCATATTGAATCTCGCTAGAAAAAGTGGGACTTAAATTATGGTGTTGAAATCCTTTTATCATAGAAATTGTCTTAAAGTAGTGGTGCTTTGTGAAGGGATCTTGCCTATATTCTCTGAGGGTCTTATGAGACAGATGCTATGAATATAGAAATGACATTTATCAAAGAAAATAAAGCATGTATACTGATACTTACATTGGGAAAAAAACAATGTAGTACGTCCTTCTCAATAACAAACACTCCTTGTATACTAAAACCCTCTTGACCCCATATCTCAAATTCTTATCCAAAGTAATATGGATCAATAACTTTGCATAAAATTCTAACACAAATAAAGAATATATCAAACTTCTTGTTGTGAAGTAACTACTATACTTAAAAATATATATATATCCCATATCTGAGTATTCTCTTCCAAATCATTTACTAAAAATAGCAAATAACTAAATAACTATATAGGAGCCAATAATAGTTCTTTTGTAATCAAAAAAGTATCTAAGGAGAAAATGTTCTGCATAACATTGACCTACTTTAAAAATAATAACTATAAATTACTATTCTTATATTTATTTAAATTCATATTATTTATAAAATATTAATTAAAATTTAAAATAAGTTTAAATAAATGAATAATAGACATGTCTTTCATCTCAGTAAATTAACTCTAACAATACAAATGAATGAATTTAACTTTTCTTACTGATTAAATCCTCAATTATCTTCTTCTAATTACATTAGTATGATGTCATCTTCAGATAGAGCCAAAACAAGACTATACCTCACAGTGAAAACACCATCTAGAGACTCCTATAAACAGTAAAGAAACAGACTGCTAAAAGGGTAGCAAGACAGGTTTCTGAGAAAACAGACTCACACAGCAGGAATCAGAAAGAGCTATTTCTGGTCCTGCCAGCCATGCAGCATCAGTTCAATCAGACCCTCTGGTGTCAACATCTATTATTTAGTGCCTAGTGTGTCCTGGGATTGCATCAGCTGTATCACTAAGAAAGGTAAGACACAGACTCTGCTCTTGAGCAATTTGTAACCAACTTGGGGCAGTAAAATTAGCATACATGTATCTCTGCCACACAAGCGTCAGAGAGACTCTGAATCCTACAATGCCGAGGCAGAGCCATCAATCCCCGGAACTCTGGGTTAGCCGGACAGCTCCAGTGTAGCACAGACGGCGCTGAATGAGCAAGGGCTGTCTTCTCGTCCTTTTGTGACATTACATGAACCCCTTCCCCAAAGCCTCTGAAGGGCCCCACACTCCTTATTGTGGTCCTCTTTCTATCAACTTGCATCACAGCATTTAAAGATTTTATTGCACTGATTCATTCATTCAACAAATAGTTACCAAGCAGCCACCAAGTGCCAGGCACTGCTCTAAGACCTTGAGATACCACTGGCGACAAAAATCCCTGCCCTAGTGAAAGTTGGAATCTAGAAGAGGGAGGCAGCCAATAAACTAAAAACAGAGCAAGGAAATAATTCCTGTAGGATGTTAGAAGACTAAGGAGAAAACAGAGCAGAGTCAGGGAGCATGAGGGCAGAGGGGACACTGCAATGTCAAATAGGAGGGTGAAAACATAACATTGGAGCAAAGACTTGAAGGAGTATGGAAGCCTGGCAGGTATCTGGGAGAAAACCATTCTGGAAGAGCAAAGGGACTTGCAAAGCACTAAGAGAACGCCCACCCAGTGGGTTTAAGGTATAGTAAAGAGAATACTATCAGCTGGAGCGGAATAAAAAAGGACAGCAGGCGATAAGGCCAAAGAGACAGGAAGAGGCCAGATAGACAAGACCTATTTTCCACTGGAAGGCCTTTGGGTTTAGAACAGAGGTCTGATCTACTCCACCCCATGTTTTAAAGTGATCATAGACAGCTGCTGGGTAGCCAGAATGGATTCAGGGATTTTTAGGAGGCTCTTTAAACAACTCAGGCATCAGATCCAGGCAGCTTGGGCCATCTGGGTATCTTTTAAATATCTTATTCATTTCTGTCAATATCTACTGGATTTTGAGCTTCTGAAGGCCAAGAACTACACTCTGTTCAGCTTTGTTTTCCCTGCACCGTCTAGAAGCCATTAGACTTTCAGTACATGGTTGTTGGGAGATAGAGAAGGAAGATAGGAAAGGAGGGAGAAAGAGAAGAGAGAATTAAAAGGAGGGAAAAAAAGAGAAACAAATAGTTCTTACATTGGCAAGAAAAAAAAAAAGGAAAAATCCGAGAGGTCTTCTAACAGGATCTGCAAACTGAAGAATTTGTAAAACTGCAAGCTCATGACTGAAGTGCAGCAATCTGCAGATACGAGCCACCTGAACGCTGTCCTCATTCCCATACAATCATGTCTCACCAAAAGTAGCACCACCCACAGCTCAGGAGCCAAGACAAAGGAGCTGGATTTTTCTTTTCTTACTTGGAGAAGTTTGTCATAACGCTCTGAAGACATTAGGAAGCGTCCATCCTCAAGCTGCATTTCCCTGTTTTCCAGCAAGTTGTTCAAAACGGGCAGAACATTCCTCTCCACCTTTTCCAAGCCTTCCAAAATGAGGGTTCTGCCTTCTGTGGCTGCACGGACCGCACACTATTTCCAAGAAACAAAAGCAATATGAGACTATGGAAGATGCCAGAGCATGGCCTAATTTTGCTTGTAACGCAAGCAGGTGAAGAAGAGGTCAATGCGTAATGCAACCGCTGATGATTAGTAACTTCACAGTCTAGTTTTATTAGGCATTAGAATTTGTTGTGTGCCTATTTAGAAAGAGAATGCTTGCAACATACATAACAAAGACCAAATAAATATGCTTAATATAAAAAGAATTTTTCAGATTAAGAAAATAAATAATATCACTATGAAATGCAAATGAGCATAATAAAATATTTTCCATTTCACTGGTTAACAAAGAGTTGCACGGTAAAACAAGATATTTTTAGAACTTTAAATTGGCAAAGATTAAAAAAGAATGATAATACCTAGTGTTGGTAAGGTTAAGAGGAAACGCATTTTCATTCATGGTTGGTCTATGTGCAAAATGACAACCTTATGGAGAATAATTTGGCAAGGTATATTTTTTTAAAGATTTATTTATTTGACAGAGAGAGTGAGAGAGCAAAAGCAGGGGAAACAGTAGAGGGAAAGGGAGAAGCAGGCTCTCCGCCAAGCCGGGAGCCTGATGCGGGGCTCGATCCCAGGACCCCGGGATCATGACCTGAGCCGAAGGCAGACGCATAACCATCTGAGCCACCCAGGCGCCCCTGGCAAGTTATTTTTAAAAATTTAAATGGCTATGTTCATTAATCCAGTAATTCTATCTCAAGGAATTTACCTTAAGGGAATAGTCAGGAAAATGTACAGTGATACATGAAAGGATTTATAATTACCAAAAAAACCCCAAAACCCCCAAATGCCAGTCTAGATGATTGGCAAAATATACCATAATAAATCAGTATGATGGACTACTATATAGCTATCAAAAATAATGATATAGCTCTACCTTTACTAGGACTATGCCATTTCTTACCTGATTACTAAACCCCAAGTAAATATGCTGCTTCTTTTAAGAACCTTGTTTAAGAACCTTGCTATAAAAAGTACTTAATTCATGAGTGATGGGATGGGCTGGGGAAGACAATGCTCTAGAGATGGGACATTTGCTCCTCCCATTAGCTCTATTACAAATCTGTGATAAAACGTGAGGAGAAGCCACTACAAATTTGCGCTGGTCAACTTCAGCTGAATCGTCACTACTATTTTTTTTTTTTAAGATTTTATTTATTCATTTGAGACACTGAGATACAGAGAGAGAGAGAGAGAGAGAGAGCATGAGCAGGGGGAGAGGCAGAGGGAGAGGGAGAAGCAGGCTCCCCACTGAGCCAGGAGTCTGATGTAGGGCTCAATCCCAGGACCCTGGGATCATGACCTGAGCCGAAGGCAGACGCTTAACCATCTGAGCCATCCAGGCGCCCCTTGTAACTACTATTTAGAAAATACTTTCTTCATTTCTTATAAAAGTTATTGCCAAGACAAGCTTCCAGTCTTTTTCATCTCTTTCTATGACCTTGTCCAATACTTTACCATGATAATTAAAGTGATGGAATTGCGATTCCATGATTTTTCTTCATTCCTTCACACAACCCCTCTGTGTCTTCCCTACTCTGATTTCTGTATTTGACAATCACTCTTCCTGTCCCTCCAAGGCCAGCCCTTTCTGTCTTGAGCTTAGTGGCAACCCCTCCAACCTCTTCCAAAATCTTCCATCAACTATACCACCTCTTAATTGCACTTTCAACTTCCTTCTCTTCTACAAACATGTCTGTACTTTAGGAAAACCTATAGTCTCCTGATACCTCTTAACATCCTCTCTTATCTTCAAGCCCCATGAGGAATAGTCCCATACACACTGCCTCTAATAAGCCTCCATCACCCTTATTTAACTGAAACTGCTCACTTGCAAGCACCAAAAATCAGAGCCAAATACCAGGTATTTTCTTGATCTTCATGTTCTCCTTTCCCTCCACCCTCTTCCCTTGATCCTCTCTTGTGCTTCATCTTCTATCTTAGATATTTACCAAGTAGGTTTTCCCTCTGACTTTCCCCAGCCCTTCCTCTGACTCTTGTCCTCTTAAAAAAAAAAAGAAAAAAAAAGCAAGAGCAAGCAATTCCTAAGGTTCTCCCCTTAACCTTTCCCCTCCTCTTCTCTCACTTGTTGTTTCATTGGCAAAGCTCTAACCTACTCCCATAAATCCTCACTTGGTTCATGGAGTAGCCATTATATGGCAGGTGCTATGTTATGTGCTACATTAAGTAAACAGCAACAATAACAATAGATAACATTTTTTTCACTTTATCTCATCTTTCTTGAGAAACATACTATGTGACCCTGACCCTCCTCCTGATCTCCATTCTCCCATTTCCAAATACCTTTTTAACATTTTCATAGAGGTGTTCAAACTCAACATGCTGAATTAAATGACTTCTTTCCAAACCAGGCCCTCTTCCTGATGGCGATTTCAATTAAAGTCTCATTGATTCTCCTGCCCCCAGAATTCAGTCCTTTTAATTCCTCAAACAATGCAAGTGTAACCTCTAAATAGTCCATGCACCCATCACCCTTTCAACCTCACCACCACCATCTCAACAGGAGCCTTCCTTCATCCCTGTTCATTTTACTGAAAGAGTCAATTGGAACAGGCACCATATCTCCGTATCTCTCCTTCTCAGTTGTGCTCCAGATCATCATATTTTACCTCCTGGAACTTAGAGACTGAATCATGCCATCTGAAAAGTCTATTTCAGTAATGAGATCTATGATTATGCAATTTACCTCAACATGATTAAGAATATTATTTTTTTTAATCCCCCTAAGCTTTTTTCTTATTAATTATTTATTTATACACCATTTGAGTGGCAATGACAGTGGATGCTTTATAGTGCAAATGGATCCAAAGTTAAGAATATAATAAGAGGAATATAAATTTATAAGAGTGGTATATTTTTTAGAAAAAAATAATGAAAAATAAAATCATGCAAAGGATCACCCAAGATTTTTAACTTTCTTCCTGACTTGCCCTTTGGATACAGAGTTACAGACCCAGTACATACATGTAAATTAAAAATTTTAAAGGCAGGCAAGAATACTGGCTAAAAGGAGAAAACCTTAAGAAGACACTTTTTAGTAACAAAATCTGAATCGCTGAATTTACAGAAATACTACTAGTTATTAATTCAGCATCATCTTGCTTCCTGATTGTTCCTAAAAATAGTCTATAAAAGTATGAAAGTACAAAGTATGAAAATACTTTAATCAGTACTGTCAAACTTTATTAATGCAATCTCATCACCTTTGTAAAGAAGAATGTTAAAAACAACTACATAGGGGCGCCTGGGTGGCTAAGATGGTTAAGCATCTGCCTTTGGCTCAGGTCATGATCCCGGGGTCCTGGGATCAAGCCCCACGTCTGGCTCCTGGCTCAGCGGGGAGCCTGCTTCTCCCTCTGCCTCTCCACCTGCTTGTGCTCTCTCTCTCTCTATCTCTGTGTCTCGAATGAATAAATAAAATCTTTAAAAAAAACCCAAAAACTACATAGCAAATCCATTAAGTACTCAAATATATCAACAACATATTGTACCATGCGATAAGTCTCAGACCCAAACATCCTACCCTGCCTGCATTGATGCCCCCTTTGCCCTCTGTTTGCTCAGCCCGTAAGTGTGGAGCTACAATGCTCAAGTTCTCCTAGTTCTCCCATATGCCTGTTTCATCTCCCCAGCAAGATTCTCAGGTCCTCAAGGGGTGAGAACCCTGCCTTTTATGTCGTCCCAGTGCAAAACTGGCTCACAGAAGGCTTTTAGTGTTTATGGAATAAAAATGTAACCACTCAGTTAAAAGATGCTGTTATGTAAGTTTAGGAGAATTTTTATATGAAGGATGATAGTTATCTATGCCCACACCTGTTATGAGAAGAGAACAGAACAAGTTTAACTGTCAGCATGAATGATTTAGGCTACATAGTTAAAAAATTTTTTATACAGACTTTTAAATAAAGTAATGGTGGTATACTTTTTCTCTTGAAATCTTAAAGAAGGGAACAATGTATACATATTTTATGTGGAGTGAATACTTGTGATCATTACTCAAAGTAGAAATTACATCAACCATAAGGATCCTTTCCTGCCCTTCAAGCTATAGAACTTCCAGAGACCTCATTTTCTCAAACAGAAATCAGAAAAAAATGCAGCAAGATCCTTCTGGACAAACCATATCAGTTTGGTTTTTTTTTTTAAAGATTTTATTTATTTATTTGACAGAGAGATAGAGAGCACAAGTAGGCAGAGTGGCAGGCAGAGGGAGAGGGAGAAGCAGGCTCTCCGCTGAGCAGGGAGCCAGACATGTGGCTCGATCCCAGGACCCCAGAATCATAACCTGAGCCGAAGGCAGCCGCTTAACCAACTGAGCTACCCAGGTGCCCCAACTATATCAGTTTTAACAACCCAACACGAAGGCATGAAGGGTTTCAAGATAAAGGAGGCTGCATGACCTAAAAATCAAAAACTGTCTAAGCCCCTGTTCTAGATTTGCTTCTGATTTGATAAAAGACCTTAGGCAAACAATTAATCTAGAGGTCTGTGTCCTCATTTATTAAATGAGAATATCCCCAAGGGGTATTGTACAGTGTCACTATTCATGAAAAGAAAGCAGTACTGGAAATGAAATTTAAAGCTATCATACCTATTAAAATAGAAATTATTGTTGCTATAACCATGATTTAATGAATATAGATTCCAAATAGCTTCAAAAGACTCAGAATGGCTATAGTATAACAGTACTGAGGATGCCAAAGAAAAATGCAAAAAAATTAAATTTTAAGTTCTTTATTTTAAAATATCAGAATAGGATCAGACTAACTTTTCACTGCTCTGCCACTTACCTGCTATGGGTAATTGAGGCTAGTCACTTCACCTCTCTGAGCTTCCACTTCTTTCTAAAGCCACACTATTTACAGTGCTTATCTCCCAGATTATGGTGAAGATTACCCAAGATAACCTCTGGCTCATAATAAACCTTTACAAAATGATTAGCTATT